AAATAAAACAAACAATAAAATAAACGAAAAAGAAGTAGAAAAAAAGAAGAAGAAAATCCCACACACCTTAACTAATCGAAACGAAGAAGGTTCTGTTCTCCTCTTTCCACTCTACTCTTGTCGTGTCCGTCGCTTCCGTTATCAGGAATACGTGGCGCGGATGACGATGGAGGAACGGGCCGCGAGTGTAGGAACAAGGACCGTTAGATGGGGGAAGTCGATGTCGCTAATTCGGCCGTTAAGCTGCCGTCGTAATTACGCTAGTTTTCCGTGATGAAAATTCGAATTTCAGATTCGAAAGGCAGAAATGCCTCGATCTCCCGAGATATTATCAATTTATGGATACACGCCGCTAATGGGATTAGGATTATGTGTTGTATGTTTTGCATTTGAGTTGCCTGAGAGAATATTTAGATTCTTGATCACTTGGTTGGATCGATCTAATCGCGCAGCCTGTGTTTAAATTTGGAAGAACCGCGCAGTGATTAATTGATAATGCTATCTTCTGTTCGCTTATTCGTCAAACAATCAAGGAAATAATTGCTTTATTTGGAAGTACAATGCATTACTGGGTTGAGGCAAAATTATTATGCAATGCCAATTTGCTGTATCTTGCGGATAGTAAGAATTTTAAGCGACCGATTAAAAATAATATTCTACTGTCTATCAATTCTACAATGGCTGAACATTTTCATATAATTTTTTATATCGCAATTAATATCTCTCATGGATCATATTTTATTGTACATTGTATGATCAAGTATTGTATTTTAACATTAACAATTTAAAAATACGGAGGAAACAAGTGATTATTAATTACCATACAAGTTTAATTATCCTCAATTTTATATTAGAAGAAAATATATAAATAACATTTGGGTATATTGAAATACGGTATATAATAATTACTTAAAATCTTGGATTATTTTATGCTTTATTTATAATTTATTATTGCTTGTAGGATGTCTTTTCCATTCAAAATAAAGAAAACTCAATATTACGGTCGATATGTGAGATATTTATAAATGATATTTAAATAGCGCTATAATGGTATTTGCGTGCACAGAGAAATGTAGTTACGAAACGTAAAAACTTTAAAGGTTTTGATGCTTTTACAATTTTGATTAGATAATGACAATTATAAATGGAAGTTTTTGATATTACATTAACAATTTTAAATCAAAAACCTTTAATTCGATAAAAAATAACAAATTTTATTTTAGGCATTATTTTTTATTCTGATGTTATTATAATTGTTATTACAATTAGCGCATTAATTATATCTTTCAATGTCAATCGTATTAGAATTTTTGAAAATAATTGTAATCTTCAATTTATATCGGAAATATAAAATATATAATAATTTACACAGAATACACATACATATATATATATATATATATATATATTTATTTATCGAATAATATTTTATAAATGACCGTGTATTAGAATTATATAAAAGTTTTATTTTCTTGTAATAAAAATTTTATTACGACTAACGTTATAATACAATTTTTACGTACTTTAAAATATAATTAATTTTTTGTTATAATTTTCACGGCTGCATAGTAATTAGTTCTGATATTACTGTAATCAATATTTAAATGTTAAGTAAATTTAAATGTAAAGTAAACATTTTTTATAAATATTCAATAATATTGATATTGCCTCTATTAAATTCGTGATTTATTACGTAGCCAGTGCCTTACTTAGCATATGAAAATCTTCTTTTAATTGAATAAAAATTTTATGTGGATTTATAGGCTAACCATGAATTATTAATATTTATAAATGTAACGAACATTAGAAATAGTAAATATTGACGGTGTATAAGCTTTCATGGGTTTCATATAGTTCGGTGGCTACATTATTCAAACAAAAATTCTGGAATTAAATCGGATTACAAGTTATTACATTAAGGCTTTGTTAAATAATAATAATACCGGAATAATGGTTTCTGAAGTTATAAGATAAATATCTTAAACAATTATCACGATATTTGGCCATCATCTTATTTTTATAACGTAATGATAACTTATGCTCTCATTTTATGAATTTAGCAAACTCCACTAAAGTAATAAGCTTATCAAAGCGTATATTTTAGATAAATGCTAAATACTTCCTTCCTTTTAGCCAAATGAATATTCTTGCATTTGTCTCCCTTAAGCTCAGTTGGCTTATAAATATGTAACTAATGTTGTTGCCGATAAACGGAAACAACTACATCTTCAGCTAATGTATTTGTTTCTATTGACGTAGCACCATTATGTCAGACAAAATTTGTCTGCTAATCTTTCAGCTTTGTCATCGAATTTTTTGTTCCTTAAATATGTGCAAAAAAAAAAAAAAAAAAAAAAAACCGGTTCTTACACATGCCGGCACTTGTTTTTGTTTTCATAAGATAGTTTAATTAGAAAATGTACGATAATATTAATACGCAAATCCGAAGGGCATACAAATTTATAAATAAATGGAGAAAAAAAATCAAAGGAAAGGATAATATGCAGTTAATTAAGCACTGATGGATAATTATGTCAAACAAGAGCAGTTATTCATATGCCTTTGGTAATGAAAATTTTACAAACAAAAATCAACATTTAGCACATCACCGCTAGAATTGTCCGAAATATTATTATAATTAAATTGTAAAACTATACAGACACGTAAGAGTTGAAAATATATTTTAAATTGAAAAATTGAATTACAAGTCTTTAACGACAAATTCAATTATTAGAAATATATTGGCAACTTCTTGGTTACGAGAATACTCGGCTTTTGTAAATTTTTTGAATCTACGACTTTCATCAAATCTCCAGCGTTAAAGAAAGTTAGCCAAAGGTAAAACATGCAAATATAATGCGATTATTCCTTCAATAATTTCACTTTATCCGAGACTAGATTAAGCGTTGCTACTGGGAGAGTCCCTCCTCCACTTGAGCTCGAACACCAAACTTCAAAGCCACAGCAAGAACAACGGATTTCAATTTCTTATAGTGCGCGAACAATCGTACAGGCGCATTAAACGTTTCCAACAGTGCGCGCTAGTCGCCGAATAGAAGGAGACAAAAGCCTATCGCAACGACGCTCATCTGCATCATCTGTATCAATAAGTGTGTGCATTCACCAAAAAGAATGAGCGCTTATCAGCCGATTCTCAAAAGCTATCGGCAGTGCAAGAAAGAATCGAGCTCCCGTTGAAAGCTGAGGAAATGAGAAATTGTAGAAGATGAAGATGAAGTAGAAGAAGAGGCGAAGGAAAAAGCGCGTGCCGAGAGCGGAGATGGAAAAGGCGAAAAGGCGAAAAGGAGGCGAGCTCGGCTTCATTGACGAATGGGGCTTGAATGGCGTGCGTATTACGTGGTCGGCGCTCCTCTCGGCGAACTCACGCGCGCCGGCGCACACAAGGTCATGCACGTACGCTTAACTGCTCCCGCAGAAAGTGTGATTTAACGGTGGCGACACTTGTGTTAACGATCGCTCAGCCATCGACCCATTCCTTCCATTCATCCTTCGCCTGCCTCGCCCCGCTTTGCTATACCCCACTCGTATACCGCCAGACTTCCACCAGCCCCTCATCGTCATCCTACGATACTTTCCTATCCCCACAACACCCTCGCTCGGTCTATCCCATCCCGGTCCGACCCCTCATGCTCGATTACGTAAGCACCACGTGCGTTTAATCGGGATATCGGCGTTTTCCTGCTTTACCCCCAAAGATAACAAAGCCCTAAGTCGTTGACCTTAAGGGTCGGAGTGTGGGTGTCGCGGGAGTCGTTACTGCGTGCGCATGACCTCGGGAAAATTGGACGAAGGGGCTCGATTTCAAGACGAGAATTCCTGATAGCTGATCTTTACACGGAAATGAGAAAAGCCTGTATATATTGTATAGGGCCGGCTTCGGAGATTAACTCAACCTTAAAAGCAAATCTATATTAATCTACTTTTGACAAATGCTATTTTATTATATATGACTGTGACCATAAACATCGTCTACGCGTTTCATTAGCATTTCTCAGATTTCGGGTAATATCGACTAAGAGCGATTTCGCGTTAAAGCTTGTAAAAGGCTTTTACGGAAAGTCCAGAGATATTTTAAAATTTTAAAACTGATAAGGAATGTAGCGGGCCTGAAATTAGTTTTATCGAATGCCTGAAATCCCAGCTCGCATACGACGTACAGTTAGAATGCTTTAAAATTTGCAAAAATTCTAATGGTCGAGTGCTGATCATTTGAAAGGAAAGTATACGTTTTTATTAGGAGACTTCATTATTCCGGGTACTGGTGTTGGGTCACTCGCGGAGAGCGTAATTTCCAGCCAAGAGGTGTTTAACCATACGATGTATGGCATCGTTGCATCGAGAAAGTACGTTTATGTAAGGCGAGGATTTATGTCGTAAAAATTGATAAGAAATGGATAATGATGGAATTGACGCGCGCGGTCCACTTACTATGTGCCGATAATTACAAGCTTCGTATGGTACATAGCGAATGAATGGTAAGGCGGCATTCGCGTAACTGACATACGCGTCAAGTTTGGCGAGCTTTCGTTTTCTCCGCGACTCCTTCCTACGACTTTCAGGCCCGACGTTTTGTAAATTCCCTTAAAGCCGGAGAAATGCATTACCTTATACGGTGAAAGTCGTGCTCGTATGCTTCGTGTGCTTGACTAGGCTCACGATTCGCCTCTACATTCCATTCCCTTTTATTCTCGCACGGGGCAATAATTTCTCGCGGCTTCACGACTGCCTATTAATCACTCGTCCGCTCGAGCACGGCAATAATATAACTTTAAAATCACGCGACCGAGCAGACTGGGATCGCAGCTCGATCGTTGCTCGTTTCACGCTCTGTCCACGCTCGGTCCATGCTCGATTCACGCCTCGATTTGCGTCTCGAGATGCAAACGATCCGATTTGCCGTCTAAGCCACGGTCATTCGGTATTAAAATATTCTCGATACTCGGGGCCCCTCGCTTTTAAGGGCGGAAGGAAGTACGTACCTTGCTGATGAGCATGTCCTTCTCGTCGAAGTGCCGGCCGAACATCTTGGGCGTCTCGCCGGGTATCGGCTCGATTTTTATGCAGACCTCCTGACCCTTGCGCGCAGTCTCCAGCGCCTTGTTGTTGATTTGTATGGTCGTAACGATGCCCAAGTCAATGAACTGCAAGAAAAAAGTCTGGTGAGCTTGTGGTTTGGTATGGAGCCGCCGTTGGCCGCGCTTTTCCGGTTGGCTTCACGCTTTCGCAAATGCGCCCACTGCTCTCGGAAAATTAAGCCGCACCGTCGGCAGTTTACTTCGGCTTTACCGAGCTCAGAATACACGATCTTTATTATTACTCGTCTAATGGGAACACGCGATGCGGCATTAAGAAGGAAAAAAAAAAGAAGAAAAAAAAAAGAAAAAGAAATATATAAGAAGAAGAAGACGAAGAAGAAAAAAGATGAAGAAAAATAGTGTTTATGACGTATTTACTAGTGGCTTGCGCTTAACCTGAATATACAGCGTAGTGTGCGTATGTATACAGAGCCATGTGTTATTAACTTTAATGCTCTCTTAATTCTCTTCGGTGATTAATATTTATTCTCGCCTCTTTGACAAATATGAATGGTAATTAAAAATTTTATGCCATATGAATATTAAATTATAATAATTTTAGTTAAATTAAAACATTGAACATGCGTCGGTGTTTGTTGTTGTCAATGCTGTTGCTGTTGCTGCTGCTGCTGCTGCTGCTGCTGCTGCTGTTGTTGTTATTATTATTATTATTCTTAGGCGTGGATGCGATTATACGGTACCGAGCGATATTTTTCATTCATGCCAGAAAACGCTGTGCTGCTCATTATAATTAAAATTATTACCATCACTACGCGACATAAATCCAAATTAGCATATAAATTTACTAGGTGAGAATAATGTATTATGGCCGCACAAGAGCATTTACAATGTATTTACGCAAGTAACACACGTATTTATATAGTTGATACTGTAATTCAACTTAAAAGTCATTCATAAATGTCGCAGACTTCTCGCATTTTAATGCTACCACGATGACACATTGCATATTGTATCTATTTTAGAAAATAGCATTGTTTATATGTAAATAATTGGATATCACATGTAATGTCATATAAAGTGCTATAGAGTTCTATATAAACTGCACGCGATCAAATACAATCTTGGAGATGTAAATTTTAATCGGTGTAGAAGTATCAAGAGGATATAAAATTATATCGACCTAAGAGTTTCAAAATTTGCAAAATAGTGCGATTAATCCTTTCAACGGATATTATTATGCATTGTAAACTTTCACTATTTACATTACATATCACATTTTACAATGAGCTCGACACATCGCCAACAACATAGTCCCTTAAATAGAAAAATTATATTTAAATTAGAGGCACGGAAGAAATTTTGTTCTTTAACGAAAGTTTCGTCATTTGATTACAGGCGCATATCGAGTAGGATGCGAAATATTTCCAAAAGCAAGCCTTGTTGCTCATTGTTGTGAGTGATTACGAAAAAGGTAAGTAAGATAGAAATACGTAAAATGATAAGGGGCATTGGTAATCGACGTCCGAGCAGAAATCGTAAATCCATGACGCAAATACGAGATTTTGACTAGAGGAATGGAAAGGCGAACGCGAGCTAATAGATAGCAAGTGAATGCCCATCCCCCTCTGTCATGTCGTTGTCATTGACATATAATATCGCTCGCCTTCCTGTAAGCAAGCGCACGCGTTAATGAGCAATTAGCGGAGTGAAAAAGAGTAAGATCGAGTGCGGAAAAAATGAACGGGACAAAGAACAAAAAACGGATGTCAGAGAAAAGAACAAAAAATCTCGTCATCGTTGAGAAAGTAACTTGCCACTGCAATTCGACATGGACGAGATGAATTTTCTATTCGCGAAAAATGTTTAGTGCATCGATTCTTCATATTTAAAAGGAAATTATTATGAGCTTAGCACTCGACGTAATTTGTCTCGTCATTATCTTTCCATCTTTAATAAATAATACATTGACGAAATTAATTTGTCGGTGTAAATCGGCTTATTTGCCTCACTACCGGATTAAATGTATTTTGAACTCTACTCTTTATTATTTAAATAACTCGTTTAACAAAATTTAGTTATTAATATAATTATCGTTAGTATTGACAATATAAAAATGTGTGCTTTAATACTTTATTATGCCGAATGTTGTGATCCCTGAAGTTTTCGTATAATTTCTTATATAACTAAAAGTTACCTCCTCCTGGCTCACTGAGGACGGTAAAGGAAACATTATAACGTACAGCGACAGTCTTTTACATCGATCATCTTTGAACATGTTTGTTATCAAATTTCTATGAATTATCATGACGAATCAATTGACATTCCAATGATAAATTTTCTTTCAAGATTAAAGATATCGATCGCCGAGGGATACCTCGGTAACCATAATTCCAATTCATTCCATTCGCTACCTCAGCCGTGTATTTGTCTCCGGTGTATTCGTTAATTATATTTGCACTCGGTGCGCTCAACATTCCAGGGGATGCAAAACTATCAAAGCTGAAGATGTTATCAGGTTTTGCGGCAAACGATGCCTCGCAGACACGACAGAAACAGAAACGGCAGATAAGCCAACAATGAGGATTGTTTAGCCGACTGTAAGTGGCTGAGAAGATCAAGAATCATTTCTCGGACTTAATGAAGAAACTTATTTTATGCGGACTTGCATCCAAGACGGACGATGTACATTGGTTTTGGATTTAAATTTAATCCCCCCCCCCCTCTCTCTCTCTGTCTTTCGAAATCATTGTTCATACAGTCATTTAATTGTCGATTTAAATATGATGAAAAACGTCCTTTTTTTTCAGAAAAAAATTCATCTCATTTAAATATTATATGTCATACCGTTACAATTTCAATATATTAATCGTATATTTAAACATGTCATTTAATGGACTAATATATTACAGTGGGGGAGACGGTGGGAGTAGGAATAGGAATGGTGGGTGGATTGGCATGGTAGTTTAGCATCGATACATGAATTTAGGTTGAGAAAAGCGCTGAAGAGACGAGCGTGAACGGG